TTCATATCCTCAAGGGTCTCACTAAATTTATCAGCAGCTTCTAAAAAATTCTTGAAAAACCTTATAACCGTGGTTTTGAACTCTATATCCAGTAGTTTGCTTTCCTCCATTTCTGTCATTTGTGACCTGTTTCTTTGTCTCCGCATTTTGGCTGCTTCCCTGTGTTGATAGAGTGGCTTTGTGTGCTAGGTGTCCTATAGGGCCCAGTGACTCATCCTCCCCAATCACCTGAGGTGGACACTCTTGGTGCTCCCCTTTGTGGGCTGTGTGCACAGTCTTGTTGTAGTTAAGCCTTGACTGTTGTAGGTATCCCTGAGAGGAATTGACCTCCAGGCCAATTGGCTGTGAGAATCAGCTGTGTCTACGGTGGGAGAATTTCTGTGCTGGAGACACCTTTCTGGGGCAAGACTTGCTTCAGTGGGGCTTTGGTGCTCACTGAGTCTGCCCCCTGAGTGTGTCCCTTATGGATCTGAGGAGTTGTAATCTGGATGGTCCCACTCTGACCACTGGGTACACTGGCTCTTGGATCTCTAAGGAGGTGCTAATTTAGCCTCTGCCTAAGGCTACCCAACAGGAGCTACAGAGAGATCTGCAGATTCCCCTTCCTTGTTTGGGGTTTGGAGGTTCCCAGATGAGGCTCAGCTGTGAAGTAATGCAGGCTGCTGTGGGGCCTTGGGCCTTCTTTTGGATGTTCTGGGTCTCTCTGACCCAGCTGCAGTTTGTTAGGTAATTTTAGATTGCAAAGGGCCAGGGCATTCATATGCAAAAGCCTCTGTGCACAGCTTGGGTGGGGCAGGGTCTCAGGGAATCAACTGGGCAGAGCAAACAGCTATGGCTGATCCTCAGCCTCTGCCCTAAGAGGTCCTGGTTCTCACTGTTCCACGGTAATCGCTGCAAGCACCTCTGAGAGAAAGCCGTCCTCGAGTTCCGCCCGATGCCAGACAGTCCAGTTTCTCCCCGTATGAGTCTGGGTCCCCAGAGACTCACCCGGAACTTGCGTTCAGAGCAGTCGGGAGCTTGTGTCTCCCTCCCGATTGAAAAAGACAACCGTGTCCTCAGTTGCCAGCCCTTTCTGCGTGCGCCTCTGTACCTCTGCACTTTACTTCCACACTGCACCTCCTCTGAGTCTCAGTGTGCTTTTCTCTTTCCTTCTAGTTGTAGAATTTCCACTCGGCCAGCCTTCCTGTGGTTCTGGATGATGTCCGCTTTGTCTTTTTAGTTGTATTTTTGAAGTGGTTGTGCGAGGCAGCAATTTCCGTTGTTTACCTATGCCACCATCTTGGTTTCTCCTCAAGGAGGTGAATTTTAGTGAACAGGTCATTGAATTGCCCCTTAAAGAGCAAGAATAATTTTGACATAGTGGGCAAAGAAGGAAGTACAGATATAAAGACAGACACATTTGTTGGTTAGGGACAGGGCTCTGAGGAAGTTTTAGCTGCTAGTGAGGTCATCTGATAAAAAAGAAGAGAGGTGAGGACTTGAACTTAAGAAGAGTGGTGAAATTTGAAATAGCTGCTGAGGTGACTGAGAAGATTGACTTAGGATCTGTGACAATGCTGAGACTCAGGAGGGCGCCGCTGAGTCGAGGGGAACCACGGTGCAGTGGCAGGAGCCTGGTTTCTCCAGCAGCACTGAGCAGCCAGGTTGCAGGTGCAGAAAGGAGAGAGTTCCCTGGAATTTAGCCAGGATGGTTAATGGAGGGACAGTGGAGAGTGGGATTAAAATTGTTGGCAAGAGAATGACCTGCATATGGACTAGGCTGGATAGGAAAGATAATTAAAACTGGAGGGGTTCTTATTATTTGGTGAACCAAGAACAGTCAAAAGATGAGCGTGAGAATTAAAAGGATGCAAGGATTATGGTCCAAGAGGAGGATAGGGAAGTTTAAGACTTCAGAGGTTGAACTGCCCTCATAAGGTCATAAAGAATAAAAAAGGGTTTCACCAGAGATGCTAAAATCAGTCAAGGGACAAGATCGTGGTGAGCCAGGGCCAAAGTCTTCACTATCCATCGGGGTTGGGGTTGGGTGTGGGGTTGCGTAGGAGGTTGATAGGTGGTGACACCTGAAGGTGAAATGATCGCAGGCTGGAAGCAGCGGTGAGGAGAGAATACTAGCATTGGCTCCTGGACTGTGAGAGCGGAGGTGAGGGAAATGTACTCTTTTCTCAAGAGGGCTGCACATAAAGCAATTTTCTTCGATTTCAATTAAAGCTAGAACAGAAAGCCAGAGGAAGCAGGGGTGTTTGCAGACACAGTGGTGCTCCAAAAAGCATGAAGAGGTGGTTTGGAAGGGAATATTGTTAGTACACACAGACCCTGGGAAAGGTCCCAGGTCTGAAAATCTCCTTAAGCAGAGGGCCGAGAAAGACTGAAGAAAGAGGTTAGCCACTCTAGTCTGGTAATTAATGGAGTTAATTGAGGGAAACATACAAGGAATGTGCATCTTCAGTGGCTGTAACTTGAAATGGATCCGCACACCACTTGACAGGCATCAAAGAATTAAATGGGAGCCAGGCCGAGGTGGCTCAGTGGCTGAGTGTCAACCTATGAACCAGGAGGTCGTGGTTCGATTCTTGGTCAGGGCACATGCCCAGGTTGTGGGCTCAATCCCCAGTGGGGGGCGTGCAGGAGGCAGTTGATTAATGATTCTCTCTCATCATTGACGTTTCTCTGAAAGCAATAAAAATATATTTTAAAAATTAAAATATTAATAAAAAAACATTTTTTAAAAAAGAATTATATGGGATGAAGGGGCAATAGTCCCTGTACTCCTATGTGAATGCTACCGATTACGGTAAATTGCTTTACATGCTTGTCCAGCTCAAGACAATGGCCTATTCCAGGAACCAGTAGTGCGAAGCAGGGGAAGGGCACTGGTTCATGTCATAACAAACATCAATCAGGATCAGACAGTGCCCAAGAGGGGGGAGGGTTGTGGGGAAACAGGTTCCCCCTCCCCTCTGGCCCAGGTCCAGCTCACTGGTCAGACGGCGGTCATTCCTCTCTTGGAACAGTCTTTCCTCCACAAAGAAAAGCAATGATGGGGAAGATGAATCAGTATAGAAATAAGAGAAAGCAAAGGACACACTGGATGGGCCTGTATTTGAGGCTGGGACTAAGGGTGCCCATCAGTCAGGCTTCTTGGTATCACCTTTGCACCTAGTACAGAGCTTCTGTGAGTGGGTACTGAATGCTGAGCGTATCAAAACTTGACTCTATCAGGACTTTCGTAGATTTATTGTGTGAAGCATGTTCACCACAACTAGTTGTCCACAGTAAGCAAGTGTACTCATTTTATTTTAAATTCCACGTCTGAAGGTATCTAACACTAACTGGGAAAAACAAACAGGAGTAGGACATGGCTCCTCTGTAATAAATGTTATTTCTCATTTCACTCTTACTTTTTATTGAGCATTTTCACAAAGTCTAGAGAAAAGGCTTCATGAGAGTTTGGAAGAAGATATAAATCTGTACAGTGTAAATCCTTATAAAAATGACAACAGATTAACCACAGCAGAATCCAATGAGTCTATTTTTAAAACTTTTATAAAATATTTACCTTTTAAAATTAAAGTTTACCAGTTGAAATAGATGCATTTTTGATGGTTCTTATCTTAATCAGGTTTCTTTTGGTTTTAAAGTACAAAACCCTCTTCAGGGTAGTTTATAAGAGTAAAATGGAATTGTATTTGAAAGGATACTGCCCTCTAGTGGAATGAAAGGGGAAACATGAACACTTGGCCCCCAGATGGGGAGAGCCTCTCTCTGGTAGTCTCTTGGCTCTTTCTGTGGCATCTCTCCATTCCTCTCTTCAGACCTGCTCTCTCTGGGTCAACTTAAGTCAGACACTGATAGAGGGAGTCTGAGGAGGACCCGGTCACACCATGTAAAAATGGATGTCAGATGCTTCATCTAGGACAGTGTTGGCGAACCTTTTGAGCTCAGCGTGTCAGCATTTTGAAAAACCCTAGCTTAACTCTGGTGCCGTGTCACATATAGAAATTTTTTGATATTTGCAACCATAGTAAAACAAAGATTTATATTTTTGATATTTATTTTATATATTTAAATGCCATTTAACAAAGAAAAATCAACCAACAAAATGAGTTCGCGTGTCACCTCTGACACGCGTGTCATAGGTTCGCCATCACTGATCTAGGAGATGGAAGAAAAAGTTCTCAGGGAAGAGTAAATGAGTATTGGGCTGTAAGGATAAGTGAAAAGGGTCTGCTAGAGACTAACCTGCTTTGAAATTAAGTCTGAATCTTTTTTTACTTTAAGAACATCATGCATGGTAAGTTGTAATTTCTGTTCCCATTGGATTTGGTCAGAACAGTCTCTACTCTGTAAAAATGTTCAATTATTGTGGTGCTCTACAAAGAATATATGTCCTATCATGTTCCAAACAATACAAAAGAAATACATTATTATGTAAAAAACTAGAGGCCCGGTGCACGAAATTCGTGCAGGGGTAGAGTTCCTAGGCCTAGCCTCCAATCAGGGCCGATCTTCCCCAGCTGCCAGCAGCTGGCCCCCCTCCCTCGCTGCTGAGCCGGTCACCCTCTGTGTATGGGGCGACTGGCGGGGCGATCGGGGCCCCGCTCACTCACACCCGCTTTGGCCTGGTGCCACCTGCATGCCGGCTGGAACCCCCCCCCCCCCCCATTTCCAATTTCCCCTTTCCCCATTGGGCAATGGAACCCTTTTACCCAGGGGAGGGGCCCAAGAGGTTGGCCGGCAGGCCCCCCCCCTGCCCCCCCCCCCCCCCCCGCGATCAGGCTATCAGGACCTGTGGGCTGGGGGCAGCTCCTGCATTGAGCACCTGCCCCCTGCTGGTCATTGTGCATCATAGCGAGCGGTCATTCTGCCATCTGGTCAATTTGCATATTATGCTTTTATATATATAGATTTTAAATGATTTTTATTTTTAAGAAGCTTACCTATATACTTTTTATATTATAACTTAAAAAATGAATAATTCCATTATGTTTTGTTTGCAGGTCATGCCTTGACTGCATTGGTAAAAATGCTATAATTTTAGAAAGTCAAATATCTTTATTACCTCCTAAACTTCTTCAACAAGTACTCAAAAAAATCACATTTTGGACTGCAGCTAACCACCGAGAAGAACAAAGAGCCCAAAAAGAAGAAACAGAAAATAAGTATCAGTGGATCAGTAACAATTAAGTTGTTATATACTTTATATGTTTAATATGTTTAACATTTTAATCAGACTGTATATTTACTCCTCAAATTGGAGGCTTTATTTAGAAGATAAAATTGAAGCAAAAATGTTATGTTAAAGTGATTACATGGAATGGGATATATGGGAATGAGATGTTAATGGCAGATTAATTTATATTTCTAAAATAATTTCCTTATAAGGTACAGAAAAAAAATATGCTTTCTGAAAGTAATTACAATTGTAGGCAATTTTAACTCACTGTGTACTCATTGCTGGAAAGATTATACAAATTTGAGGAGAATAAGAAATTACCCAAGGACTTTAGAAATCCCTCAATATAATGATACATAAAAACACTATATATCAACTTTTATATAGAATAGATTCTCTCAAGTCACTATAAAATTACCTAAATCTTCTCATTAAATAATTCAGTTATTTAAATAACATCTTCTTAAATTACTAATATAGCTGGCCAAAATTATAAAGTAGACAAACACTGGTATAGTGTTAAATGTGGAACCCCCACCCTTTTAGCACTTATCTAGTAAAGAATTCTTAAGCATCATTGTACTTTTCCTTTTTTTTGTCATAAGTTTTCCTCAAACCTTTATTTGAGTAGGGGAATAAATGCATTCAATTGCTTTTTGTTACCCCTAAGTTATTAGTTTGTCCAATTTTATATGTACAAAGACCATATTTTAAAGTGCCTAAAGTATTTGTCATCCAGGCTCTGAAATATTGAGAAGCAGTATAATTATTAAGTTTTGAGGCACATTAAAATATAGTTTGCCTTGGAAGAGTGCATCTAAAGTGATTTTCATAAATAATGAAATGGAATGGTAATCTAGTAAGTTGCCTTTATTGAAACCCCTCAATTTGGTCCACACCATTCTACAAAGTTGGTGCTTAAGGATATTGAAAATATGTTATCTTCCCATTCATTTTCAGTATTAACTGCTTATACAGAAATAAAACACTATAACTTATATTCCTTAAGAGTACTTTTGCCATAATTAAGAAATTGTTCATATTATTACAGCATACCCTTCCATTGAATTACTAATAACGATGTATTACTCAAAGGCTTGGTTATAAAATTACTCTCCACAATACCACCATACAAGTTATTTCTGAAATTCAAAATGTTAGAGCAAATATATTTCTCTATTGAAATATATATGTAATTTATAATGAAAATTAGTCATTGATAGTACCTCATTAAATTTTAGAGATATATTTTATATATATTGTATTTTGATGTGTAAAGCTTCTATTTATGTATTGAGATAGTGTGTGTTTACATTTTATTTATTATATGAACTATGTAGATTTACTATTTTTCCAGTTTTGTTCATGTGAACCAGTCATTAGAGTTGATTGTACAAACAATATTTCAGTGTAAGTTTTCATTTTTTCTTACTATTTTTAGACTAAATAAAATTTAGAAAATAAATCTTACAGGCAATGTACAGCTTACAAGTAATTATTTTATTACAATGAGTTTCAGTATCAGCCTTTCACATTTAAGGGGAAAATATCAAAACCTCTTGGATAGTGGTGATGACACTGAGTGGGATGAATACTTTTTAATGTAGCTTCTGGATTACTAGCATACGGATGCCTTCTCTAGCCTCTTAGAAAAGCACTTCTGGTTTTAAATGGTTTACTTAGAGCATTAAAAGTTGGATTAGCCCCTCAAATGCACACCAACATGTAGGCTTCAAGAGAATGAAAATCTATATATTATCTATGGCACACATAACTAGTGCTATACTTATTTGATCTAATATACTGTAGTACTTCAAAAATTATAAGTCTTGAGATAGTCCCATAGTGAGAGTGGCAGGGAATTCTGATCTTTAACTTGTCTCTATAACTTGGCTTAAAACAAGGCTCTCCTGCTATTAGGAGATATAGAGGGTCTGGGAGCTGGCAAAGCCAGTTTTGAAGTATGATAGCCAAGTAGTATTCATTCCTCACTTTTCAACAGCTGATGGTTTACTGTCAACTTTTGTGTTGTTGACCTCCACAGTATATAGGAGCCCAAGGCAATACAGCTTCAGCTTCATAACATTAGCTCTGAACTCTCCCTGTGGGCTTTCTGTTTGAAAGATGATTCTAGCCCACTGGCTGCTCTGCAAAGCCATCTTTGCATGTTCCTGTGGCTCCCTCTCCGCTCCACCAAACGATGGGGAAAATAAGACATTTTTTGGGGGCCAGCAATCTGAATCTGTGCCAGTAACCTAATGCACATTCTTGATATCCTATAATGAAGTCACTGCCCCTTTCTCCACAATCTGCTCTTACAAGACCTATTTACCTAAGTGCTCCCATTTTATAGAGGCCATAAACCATGAACAATACACAACCCCCTGAGGGGGTTATCAGCACTGGCACCAGGCCAGGCCTTTAGGTGTGGTCTCGCTGCCCCCATTCCAACACACGGGGCTTTTTGCAAAGCCTGTGAAAGGTCCGGAAGTCCCATACGTATTTGGGGGACAAAGACACCAGAGGGTATAAAGGGAGAGCTTCCTCCATATTGGTTTGCTCAGGATTTGGAGAGAAACAGTCTCCCCTGAGTCACTGTACTAGTACATGCGAAACATCTGAAAATAAATGGGTTTCTCCTGTATGTCTGGGTACTCCTTTGTATTTTCTGGTCGCCTGGTAAATTCTGTAACATAGAAATGTTTCGCTCGCTGCAACCACCTCCGCTGTGCGCCTCCTTCACTGCAGCTTCTTCGCCAGAGTCCTCCAACTCTCGCTTAAAAAAAAAAAAAAATCCCCACCATGTCAGACACGCCCGTGGACGCCAGCTCCGAGATCACCACCAAGGACCTAAAGGAGAAGGAAGTTGTGGAGGAGGCAGAGAATGGAAGCGATGCACCTGCGAATGGGAACGCTGAGAATGAGGAAAATGGGGAGCAGGAGGCTGACAATGAGGTAGATGAAGAAGAGGAAGGAGGAGGAGGAGGAAGAAGAAGGTGATGGTGAGAAGAGGATGGAGATGAAGGTGAGGAGGCTGAGGCAGCTACAGGCAAACGGGCAGCTGAAGATGATGAGGATGACGATGTTGACACCAAGAAGCAGAAGACCGAGGAGGATGACCAACAGCAAAAAAAGGAAAAGTTAAAGGCCTCTGTGACCTATTCACCTTCCACTTCCCCTCTCAGAATCTAAATGTGGTCACCTTCGAGTAGAGACTCTCGCCGGCCTGTCCCCCCACCCACCTGGGGCAGCACCACCTGCAGATGACACGCACTCTCCACCATCCAACCAAAACCACAACGTGAATTTGCAACAGGGGAGGAGAAAAGAACCAAAACTTCCAAGGCCCCGCCTTTTTTCTTAAAAGTACTTTAAAAAAAAAATTTGTCTGTATTTTTATTTACATTTTATATTTTTGTCCATATTGTTAGGGGTCAGCCATTTTTAATGATTTGGGGATGACCACACCAGCCTTTGGAGTGTTCTCTGTCCTACTTCTGACTTTACTTGTGGTGTGACATGTTCATTATAATCTCAAAGGAGAAAAAAACCTTGTAAAAAAAGCAAAAACAATCTTATTCTGAACATTCCAGTAACTTTGTGTATGTGCTTATCTGTACTATAAATAATTGGTTTGTATAAGATGGTTAAAAAGGCCAAAGATAAAAAGGTTTCTTTTTTTTCCCTTTTTTTGTCTATGAATTTGCTGTTTATTTATTTATTTTTGGCCTGTTTGATGTGTGTGTGAAACAATGTTGTCCAACAATAAACGGGAATTTTATTTTGCTGAGTTGTTCTAACAAAAAAAAAAAAAGAAGAAGAAGAAATAAAAAAAGAAAGATGATACTTGAAGGTTTTGTTCAGGTGGTTCATAAAATAGGTCTCCAGTCTGGTTCTCAAGGAAGAAGAATTTCTGGCCATCTTTATGAAGTCTCTCAGGATATTCTTCCAGTTGTCAAGGAGGGTTCTTTTTTAGTATTATCACTTTTAGTATGATACAGTAAATAGCACACCAAAACTAGTGTACATTTTTTCAAAATAGTATTTTTTGCATAAACATTTTTAAAAACCTTTTGATAGAAGCCTAAAATATTCTTTAGAACTTTATGCTGTCAGCACAGACACAAAGTGATGTTCTCATCAATACGTTATTTATATGTATGTGTGTGAGAGAGGAAATCAACGCACTAAGACAGCATACTTTTCAGGGTAGTATATATTGACAACTTAAAATTTTGATTTCAGAACATTTTTGAAGGAAAAGAAGCAATTTTAAGAAACAAATAATGCCCCCTGTGCACCTTTTTTGGTGCCTGTTTTTTCCATGGCATTTATGTCATTCTATTGGAATTTTCAAAGAAAGAAACATTGGAATTAATTGTGTATGTGTTTCCCCACGTCCCGCGCGGTTCAGGGTTCAGGATCTGGAAGAGGAGTCGCACACAAATGAAAGAGAAGAGACAAGAGATAATTTGGAAATATTGGGGGGCCAGGCGGGCAAGTCCAACTCAAGGTGAAGGACCTCCACCGGTGCCCAGGCCTCGCCAGCCTTTTATTCAACTTTGGTTAAACATAAAACCCTTAGGCAGGTAATTGCAGTAACAGACAGGCTATCTTAAAGGTCAGTAAATATTAGAAGGATTTACTCTGAGACTATTTGATCAGGAAATAGCTTGAGCCCCCATTGTCAGGACTAGACAATCGGTGCATAACTCAGGACCTTGCCATGGATTCAAGGGTCACCAGCGTTCCGGGATCCTTGTTTGCACTTCTCTGCTAGTGAAGACAATGGGCGGCCTCCTGCAATTAATAATTATTCAAAGTGTGTATACCAGTACATTTTTGGGGGACACCCTATATATTTACCTCTAAGCACTGTTATCACAGATTCTGCTAAGTTGTAACAGGCAGGCAGTGGCGAGGGAAGGAGTTTCAGGCTATGAAAAGTTAAGCCCTTGGTTGTACAAAGTATTCCTTCTAAAAAGTGATTCCAGCGTGAAGATGGGAAGAGATGATAATCAAGCACACTCCCCTCACCAAACTCATCCAAATACAGAGGCGCCATTAGATAGGGATTTAGGTGTATTCTAGTCCCGTCCTATTTTACAGGAGAGGAATCAAGTTTAGATGATAATAATTCTGTACTTGCTCTTGACCTAATTGAAATGTAAGAGAAAACCGTGTCAGTGTGTGTGATCGCGATTTGCCTGAATGACTGGGCAGCGGTGGGTTTTGAAACGCTTTTCGAGTGATTTTCCAAACTAAATCAAGATCTCTGCTGAAGCCCTAGCCAGTCTGGCTCAGTGGATAGAGCTTGGGCCTGTGGACTTGAGGGTCCCGGGTTCCGTTCTGGTCAGGGCGCATGCCCGGTTCCGGGCTCCATCCCCAGTGTGGGGCGTGCAGAAGGCAACCAATCAATGATTCTCATCATTGATGTTTCTCTCTCTCCCTCTCTGAAATCAATAAAAATATATATATTTTAAAAAGGTCTCTGTTGAACCAGAAGAGCGTGGGTGGCGTGTGGCACAGAAGGGGCGAGGCGCGTCTCCGCGTGTCCACAGGGCGGCCGGGCATGGGTCCCTCGGAGAGGCTGAGACCAGGAGATGCCAGCGGGGCCATTTCACTGCCCCGTGCAGGCTGCGCTCCCTCTGAGGGAATTTCTGGGGAAGAAAGTCCTTGGGAAACCCTGGCTGAGGGCAGCGCAGCCTTGCAGCGCCCGCCGTGGGAGGCGGCTCGGCGCGCGGGGAAGCCCTGGCACAGCTCGGGGCCGGGGCCGGGGCGGAGGCGCGAGCT